ATTTTTACTGATTCCTTCTTATGCAGCTCTCTCTGGCTTTTTTAAAGTTTGCCTGAGCGGGAGGACACGTCCTCTTTTGCCTTTGGAGAAGAAGGGAAAGAAAACAGAACAGGGAGGAAGTGTCAGCCTAAAGAGAGAGGTGGACATGGGGGAGGGCAGCACTTAAATACCCACAGAAACAATTCCACTTTAGAAAGGATTAGCAATTTGAAATTGGATGAGAACAAAGAATCGCAGCAAGAGGAGTTTTGGTCGCTGCAGGGCAACGGTGTGCTGGAAGCGGTCTGAATGCAGATTCCTGTAAGACAAATGCAGAAACAAGAAAAAGTCCCGAGCCGAAGTGGGAGTGGAAGCGGGAGGGAATGCAGAATGGAAGAACAGGATGTACTCAGAAACCGAGGCAAAATACGGGAGTAGAAAGGGCCACTGTTACAAAGGGTATCTCGCCTCGCCAAGCTCCGCACCCACAAAGCTGTTTCCAGAACGTCAAGCCCTCCACTGGAGAGCTGAAAGAAGGAAAGAGCCCGAAATGCCACAGAGGAGCACAATGCAGCTGGTTTCCCTGCAAGGCAGCTGAATAGCGCTCAGGTGTTTTGTTCTTCGGAAGGAGCCATCCTGGTGCGGTCAAATACGAACCTTTATTCCCCACCGTTGGGCACTGGGAGAACTGACCCAATTGTCTTCTTCTCTAAAGGAATTAAATAAAACATTATTTCATCTGATCTCCCCGTTACTGTGGAGTGACAAGAAGGAAAGAGCTTAGAAAAGTCTTGGTTGAGGACTCTTTCTTGGACACTTCTGGAGGCAAGATATTAAGGGGATCCTCTGTCTGATTCAGAAAGGCTGAGCTCTTACCTGGGACGCTGCAGGTCTTCCTACAGCCCGGGGGCTCCTGGTCTTTGTCTCCTTGACATTCCAGGGACAGAGACATGCATGAGGTCTATGCTACCATCTTAACTCCTGCAAAGAAGGGCGTGCTCTGTATGAAGCACCAGAGGACTGCCTCGGCTGATGGAGATGGCTGGGAGGATATATAGGCGAGGGACCCTTGAGGTATGCTGCGGTTGAGGCAGAAAAACCACAACAGTGGGAACAACAGCTGATTTGCTAGATGAATTCAGAGTGCCTCTCAGGGGAGCCTCATTGGAGCAAGCACCCACCGGCTCCATTGTCAGCCTTGCTGTTACCCAAAGTAGACAGTCTCCACTTGAGTTGGGGGAATTAGCTAAAGGAGACAGAGCAAGAGGCAGGTAACTGAGGTTTCCACCTATGTACACCAGGATTTGTCCCCATGGGAACTCTCAGAAATAGCCAGGCAGTTGCTCAACTGAAAGAGTTTTTATTAAGAACAGTATAAAACAAAAATTCACACAATAAACACACACGGGAGCTAACTAAGAAAGGCAGGGAGGAAAGGGCAGAGATTTTTAGGGAAGGGTGATATTTACTAGTCCTGAAGAGGTCCATGGAGGCAGCAAGTTGAAGAAGGAAACGGTCAGCATTTCAGCAAGCAAGAGAGAGAAGGCCCACATGCAAGTGGTGTGTGTGTGTGGTGCATCCAAGAACACACACACACTCACTGCTGGGGCAGCAGGGTGACATATTTATAGGGCGAAACACATCCTGAGGCAGGTTGACTCACTGCCAGAGGACAATGAGTTCATGGGTCTACTGGAGGTAGACAGAGGTGGGAGAGGTTTGATGGCTTCACAAGGACTGGACAGGAAAGGTACTAAAGAAGGTGAATAGACTTAAGCATTGATTATTTGCCTCTTAATCAAGGGTAATGGGTGAAGGGGTAACCCTTGAAGACCCCACCCCCAGGGCAAATAGCTGTCCCCAGCCTGAAGCTTGAAGGGAGGAGGTGGGATTGGGGAAAGCGCCTGCCGCCTACAGCCTCTCCTGCCTTGTGCATGATCGGATCTTCTTGCAAGAGGAAAGAGGGCACCAATAGGGTTGCCAGCCTCCAGGTGGGGCCTGGGGTTCTCTTCGAATTACTATTGATCTCCAGACTTCAGAACTCAGTGGCTACAGACCAGTGTTTCTGAGGGAGCCTTTGCTCATATCAGCCTGCCAATGAGGGCTGACGACTCTGGGTCGGGTGATTCCTAGAGGCTTGGAGGTGCAGCCTGAAGAGGGGTCTGAAAAGCCTCAGCAGGGATCTGATGACAGAAAAAATCCTCCCTCCAAAGATGCCATTCTCTTCAGGGCAATGGATCTCTGCAGTGTGGAGATCAATGGTCATTCCAAGAGATCTCTGGGTCCCACCTGGACACTAGCAAGCTTCAGATCAGCTCCTGACCCCTGTTTGGCCTTGCGTGAAGGGCCTATTCAGCAATGGACTCCAAGTTTTGGAACTCCCTGTGCCCAGGAGGCTATTAACCTCCTGAAGGGGGCTGAAACCAGTGCTGTGATTTTTTTTGAATTCCTCATTCAAATGTTTTTGTGATTGTACTACAGCTGTTTCATTGCAACTTATCTTGTTTAGTTTTAGTTTCACATTTTTATTACCTAGGTTGTAGTTTTAGTTCTTTGGATTTTACTGCCATTTTTGCTGGCTAATTCAGATGGAGTTTTGTTATCTTATTGTTTTTGCTGCTGTTAGTAGATTTTTACTTTATTCTGATCATAGCTTTGTATTATGTAATGCCCTGAATATTTTCGTTTTGTTTTATATATTTAGATAATTTTTAGTGGCCCCTGCACATGGCTGCTTGAGGTGACTTAACGACAGGGGTCATTTCATAGAAAAAGAGCTAGGGGGACTCATTAGCATAACTCATTAGCATATGCCACACCCCCTGACATCACCGGTCAACCGGGGGGATGGCGTCGCCCCACGTCCCCCCCCAAATGACCCCTGCTTAACGATAATGAAAAAACCAAAATAATATGAACAAATATATATTTTTATTTATTATTCAATTTATATCCCGCCCTCCCGTCAGGCTCAGGCAAAGCATTACAATTAGTCGGAACATCAAAAATGAAAACAGCTTCAGAAAGTTGTGCAACTGCAGGACACGATAAAAGTATATCT